GATCTCAATGGATATTTTTTCAAAGAAGGCATACTTACAAGATGACTGACAAGCTCAAGAAAAAATGAACAAAATCACTAACCATCAAGGCAATGCAAATTAAAACCACAATAAGATAATCACCTTACCTGTCAGAATGGTTACTGTCCAAATGACCAGATAATATTGGCAAGGATGTAGAGACTAGGGAGCCCTAGTGCACTCCGTGGGAATGTAAACTGGTACAGCTGCTATGGAAAATAGTATGGAGGTTCCTCAAAAAATTAAAAATAGAACTACCATATTATTCAATAATTCCAGTTCTGGGAATTTAACTGAAGACAACAAAAACACTAATTTGAAAAGATAAACACACCCTAATGTTAGTAGCAGCACTGTTTACAAAAGCCAAGACATGGAAACCTCAGTGTCCACTGGACAAATGGATAAAGAAAAGTGTGGTATATACACACGATGGAATATTACTCAGTCACAAAAGTGGAAATCCTGCCATCTGAAACAACATGGACCTTAAGGGAATTATACCAAGTGAAATAAGAGACAGAAAAACAAACACTGTATCAGCGGGTGAGTGGTAGTCACTCAGTCGTGTCTTGACTCTTTGTGAACCCGTGAACCGTAGCCCGCCAGGCTCCTCTGTCCATGGAATTCTCCAGGCAAGTATACTGGAGTGGGTTGCCATTTCTTCTTTCACTTATATTTGGAATCTAAGAAACAAAAAGTATCAAGCTCACAGTACAAAGAATAGATCAGTGGTTGCCAGGGTGGGTAGTTGAGGGGTGGGCAAAATGGGTGAAAGGGATCAAAAGGGACAGAATTACAGTTATAAAATGTCATAATGAGGTAATGTACTGCATGGTGACTATAGTTAATACTGTATTGCATATTTGAAAGCTGCTAAGAGAAATAGATTTAAGGGACTAGATCTGACAGAGAGCCTGATGAACTATGGACGGAGGTTCGTGACATTGTACAGGAGACAGGGATCAAGACCATCCCTATGGAAAAGAAATGCAAAAAGGCAAAATGGTTGTTTGAGGAGGCCTTACAAATAGCTGTGAAAAGA